CAAGAAAATATATCGACAGATTAACCGACAACGAAAATGATCGTTACTTCCCCATACATCGTGCAATAAAACAGTGCCACATATGAACATAATATAGTGGGATATAAAATATAATATGAGGGTAATATAGCATAGCATAATCTATAGTAATATGATATATGACCGTACTTCATCGCAGTGTAAACCGTGTTTTATGTCTCAGAGCTTCCTCTCAACACTCTACCATAAAAGATGTAAATTCGTAGCTTGCTGGGATTATTCCATTGGTTCCAGCCGCTTGTTATCTAAAGTATATATATTGTATTATTATATATATCTAAAGCTCTGTACGTGTCTGACAAGTGCTTGTGCACACAGCGTGTTGCTAGCTTGGCTCGCTCTGTGTGCCAAATACCAGTTTTCCATGTGGCATGCCAAGGCAGTGTCACAACCACCCAGCCAATCCTCACTTCCTCATTCTTTGTGCGACCGAGGTCAAGTCTGCAAAGAATGCATTACGGGTCAGTGTGAGCCGCTTTTCTTCTGGCTTTTCTTTCTACAGGTGCTGAACAGTAGGTCTGCATTGTTAATGCTGAGTGTGTGTGTGTGTGTGTGTGTGTGTGTTAGTGTTAGTGTTGCTGGGTGTTTCATCATGTCCCCGCTCTGAAAGGAGCTCGGTGTGATCGGGAGTTTGCACTGTGGCCTCTCCGTCTCTCTAATGGAGAATCGGGAGGTGTTTTGGTTACACAAACATTACAACAAAAAGATCTCATTGGTGGAGTTTCACCGTATTGGGTGGAGTCGAAGAAGCAGCTCTTTAGAGGACAAAGCTAGCTGGGTTAAAGAGGACAAGACTGGCCATATTCTCTGTTTTTGTTTTTGTCAGGAAATGCCATGAAAACATGAGAGGTATTGTGTTTGTATAAAAGCCTGATAGTTTGTTTTTCCTCATGCAAAGTATCTTAAATAATATCTTTAAGTTCTTCCTCATTTTTCCTTCTGTTACCTGCATACAGTGTTTTTCAAAATAAACTTCAGTCTCACAACAAACAACTTTGTTTAGGAAAATATCATGATTTTAGGTTAAAATCACTCTGAAAGTGGAAAGTTATGTGACAAATAAATCAACGTTGACTTCTCGTTTCACTCGGGGGGGGGGGGGCGAACAGCCGTCTCCTGGGTAAAAAGACCCATTGACCTCCACTTCCACACATCGTGTGTGTTTTTGTGTGGTCTTCATACTTCCTGTTTTTACGATCACGTTGATGACGTACAAATCCGATTTGTTGGGATATCTACGAATTACAGTGCCTTCCTTTGTCGTAGGTGTAGCTACGAGCGCTGTGTGAGAGCAGCCCGTCCTCCGTCACCATAGAGAGATCCAGAGATGTCGGCTTTTTTAGTCCAGCAGGAAGTTAGCATCGCGCTGGTTCCCTCGACAAAAAGCCAATTGGATTTTTCAATTGGATTTTGGATTGTTGCGTGAATACGTTAGGCCACAACGCAAACGTTAGGCTACAATGCAAACGTTTAACGTTAGGCCGCAATGCAAACATTTAACGTTAGGCCGCAACGCAAACGTTAGGCCACAACGCAAACGTTAGGCCACAACGCAAACGTTTAACGTTAGGCCAGAACGCAAACGTTAGGCCACAACGCAAACGTTTAACGTTAGGCCACAACGCAAATGCTAGGCCGCAACACAAACGTTAGGCCGCAACGCAAACGTTTGCCCGCAACGCAAACGTTAGGCCACAATGCAAACGTTTAACGTTAGGCCACAAAGCAAACGTTAGGCCACAACGCAAACGTTTAACGTTAGGCCATAAAGCAAACGTTAGGCTACAAAGCTAACGTTAGGCTACAAAGCTAACGTTAGGCTACAAAAGAACTCCACCACGGTCACATGTGGCGTATTTACTGACCTATTTTATATCGTACAACAAAATGTTAAAATCTCTTCAGCATGTTAACCACAGACCTGATTTCAGACATCTAACCAAAAACACATTCAGTCAACCCGTTGACTTCCAGACAGGAAGCGCAAAAAAATGCTGACTCATTTCTGGGTTTGTAGGACTCATTCCTGCAGCTCTCTGTAGAGCTCCATCATTGTCTAAAAACACATCAATGGGCCTCACTGTTGTTCCTTCATCACCATGAACACACACATACACTTTTGTTTATTCTGACTCAATCACACACACACACACTTTCGTTTATTCTAACTCAATCTCTCTCTCACACACACACACACACATCTGTCCTGCCACAAATACTCACTTGAGCAGCAAATATGGATTAATCCGCCGCAGAAAATAGTCCCCGACAAATGCACTATTTTCTTCCGTTTGAGTCACTTAAAAAACTACATTGCCCAGCTGTTTAAGAGTATTACTGAGCTTTTTTTAATGTTGTTATGACCTGTTTTGAGAGACGGACTAACACATTTGTCGACAATAAAATACAACCGTGTAGCAGTGCACAGTAATGACTTCTCTTTTCTTTGTTCGTGCACAACAATGGTCATGAAACACGCTCATGCTGCTAAATTCAACTTGTCACTCGGCTGACCTGGCCAGCTTAGCATATTCCAGTTAGCTGGAGGACTGGTGCTAATGTTTAGCCTTCTAAATATTAGCCTCCTGCCTCTCCCGATTGGACATTAATGTGTTTTTATTGAGATTTGATGTAACCAGTGAGATGATTTTGGGCCTCTTGAGAAATGTTTAGCTCAAAGTTATTCTTTGATGCATCATCAGCACATAGTGCTGAAATAACGGTAATTATCCACATAATCATCTACAAATGTGACATGAATACTTTGCTGCTCTACACTGTGAAATGCAACCTTTACGTAGCACTTAAAAAGCTTCTGCGCTTGCTATTTTAAATGCTCATTGTTGATGTGTCCTATTTATGGCAGCAGCAGCAGCATTGCTTTTTTTATTCATGTTGCATAAAAAGATGTATTAATAGAAGAAAAAATAGCCAGATAAATAAGCAACAATAATGGCTGAGCGGACACTAAACTAAAATCTCGACCTTCAAACTCAAACTCAAGACACACGACATCCTCACACATCTCTGTGCTTTAACTCGCTGTTTACTTTCTCTGTTTCATTGCTCTATAAGTTGCATTGTGGCCTCTGTTGTTGATGTTTTCACAGCAATATGAAATAGATATTAGAGATGGAATTATGACTCGTTTGACTTCCTAACATCAGCTCTAAGCAGTAAATATAAGACATGATGAAAACTTTCTTAATCCTTTGAATTGTGTCTTTTTTTTAATACAAATAATCTCCATCGATGACGGCAACAAAGTGAAAGGACAACATTTAGAATCTTTGACATCTCATGTTGATTTCATTTATTTATTATTAGTCCTATATTTTCTGTTTTGGGCAAGTAACAAGGCTCCTGGAGCCGATGTCTGACTCCTTCCCTCCTCTACTTACTCCCTCTAGGCTGCGACATGTGAACGGAGCTCCACCCCCTTTTGACCCTCTCAACTCTCGACCTTCGGTAAAATACATCCTCTCTTCCTCTTCCTCTTCCTCCTCTTCCTCTTCCTCATCTCCCGTCTCCTGCTTGATTTCTCTCAGACCTGAACACCGTTTTGTGTTTTATTTTTGTTTTCATGCAGCAGAACTCACTTGAGCCGACGCCGTGACCGCGACCTTGACACCTTCCTGCCTCGGGCATGCCTCAGGTAAAGTAGGAACCTCTGCATGTCGCTCCTCACGCTTACTCCTCTTTTTCCTGTTCTCACTCTTCTGCGTTTTTTCCTCCCTCTCTCACAGCCGGGTATGAATGGGATGGAGCCTGCGTTTGGCGAGGCCTACGGAGGACACAGGGGTCTGCTGAGCCCCTATCCTCTGGCCATGTCGCCACAAGGGGGCAGGACTGAGTACGACCAGGTGAGAGACGGCAAACTTCATGAGTCACGTGACGCGCAAGCTCCGAACGTGAACGGAGACGTTTATACTCTATGAACTGCGTTATTCTCCGAAACACCAGAGGGCGAACAAACTAAATGAACTGTGAAGAATCAAAAACACAACGAGTGTAACTCGAGTGAGGACTACTTTATTACCTTTATACAAACCCTGTAAAGAAACAAATCAAGTATTAAATGTATTATGAAGAAACAAAGGTTTCTGTAAACTATTTTATGCAAAATATTAACTGAAATATAGATTTTTTTTTTAGACCTCGTGTTCGCAGAATGGCCTTCTTTGTATGATCCATAGACATGTAAATATTGTTTGGTATTCTACCATTTATTTTTTATTAGCGTTTAATCTCACCGACGTGGTGCCCCAGCCCTTAAAGGGGAAGTAGGTCGACACAGCCCAAGTTTGAGAAACAGACAAGCAAAGTGCTGTTGTGGACCATTTGTATTTGAGACAATATGAGTTTAAGTTTACGCTATATTGAGAATGTTTTCACCACTTTAAGTTGTCTTATAACCCTTTATGACGGGGAACTGGTTTTGTCTTTGCCTGTCTACTGATTATATATACACACACACCAATCTCTATGTTATAGTGAAAGGCCTTTACGCACCAGGGGCTTGACAAAATAAACGCATAAATACAAATTTTATGCGTTAATAATAAATATTATTATTATTATTAATAATAATTATAATAATAATAATAATAAAAAAAAATAGGGTTATTTATGATGAATGTTAGTAAAGACGTTAAGCCGTCACATGGTGAGCGATGTCATATTTAAGGATGTCTCTGTTCCCTTTTTTTTAGAGCGTGCTCCTCATGCTGGGCTCCCCGGCATCGCCGAGGAAACGGCCTTTTGAGTTGCTAAGCGACCTGGTGGACGACGGCGGCCTCGGCGAGGAGCTGCACCCGGAGCGCTGGGACGTGTCGGCGCTGGACGAGATGGCCCGATACACCAAGCTGGGCCACCTCGGGGTGGGCGGGGAGCTGCTGGCCGGCTCGGAGGAGGCCGTCCTGATGGGCCGCTGGGGGAGGAGCCGGGAGGAGGAAGAGGGGGAGGAAGAGGAGGAGGAGGAGAGACACCCGGCACCTGTGGCAACGACAACGGAGAGGGCGCTCTGTGCGGCGGGAAGAGGACAGGATGGGGGGGGCGCCGAGGGAGCGCACAGTGGAGGTGTATCAAGTGGGCCAGGAGGAGGAGGAGGAGGAGGAGGCGGCGGTGGCGGCGGCGGGTTTGGCGTTGGAGCACTGCAGTGAGGAGCACAACTACTCCCTGAGCCAGGAGGAGGAGGTGGGACCCGCTCACAACACCCAGACGGAGGGGGTGCGGGTCGGGGAGGAGGCGCAGCAGGAGGAGAGCCAGGCCAAGAATGAGCTAGATGCCGAGGAGGAGGAAGAGGAGGAGGAGCAGAAAGAGGAGGAGGAGGAAGAAGAAGAGGAGGAGGAGGAGGAGGACGACGACGACGACGAAGGAGCGGAGGAGACGGCGGCGGAGGCCGAACTCTCCAGCTCCTCAGAAACTGAATGTGGTGAGTTCCTGCTTTTCTGTTCGTCTGTGTGGTCGAGGACATCTCAGTCTGATCCAGGTCCAGACTGATCCAGGTCCAGACGAGACCTCAGACCTCAGACCGCCTGGTGCGACTCGGGTTGGCTGAGCAGCGGCGCATTAAATACCCAAAGCTGCGGGTGTAATTCCCGGACAACATACCGCTTCAGTGGCTGCAGTTTGTTACTGTTATGAAGCTTCTGAGGGAGTCGGCGTGTCCTCGTGTGTTCCTTCAGAGACCATCTGGGTTAAAGCTCAAGATGTTCAATATATATAATAAGGTATGAAAGTTGGTTCAGATTGTTAAACAACCGCTTACAGTGGAACTGAAGCAGCTTCAAAAAGCAAACACGCAGCTACATTCAGCTGCTGCCTCATTATTTCCTAACACCTCACTTATCTCTCCTTCACAAGCAACGTGGGCTCACAGCAGAACCCCCCCGATCACTTCAACCTGCAGCTATTTTCACGTTTGATCAATCGTTTGAATGATTCAGAAAGGAGACGTCGTCTCTGAGAGACAGTTTACTGTATCTTGTGTCACGTGGGATTAACGGCCAAAGGTTTTCAGTGTTTCACTGCGTGATATTCTGTGAACTACTGCGAGTTCACGTGAAGAACATTCAGCCTCGATGTGTAAAGGCCTTAGAGCTTAAAGGTGTTCAGAAGTAGCTGTTTGAGTAGAGAGTTGATCATTAATGCTTAAAAAAGATATTAAATTAAACCTTTTGTCACATGATTTATCATTATACAAAACAAAAACAACAATTACGACAGATTCTTTGTAAATATTGGACCCATTTTTCTTAAAAATCAGGAGAAAATTTAACCCTTTTCTCTCTGGCAACTACCGCCCCCGTGAACTGATTTCCACAATGCTAAATATTACTGTTAGCTGACTGAATATCTAAATTAATACATCCTGTAAATCTGCTTTCATCCGTCCACACTACGTTCGTCACAAACACGCGTTGACCACGCCCACTTAGGAAACAGGAAGTGAATGTCAGAAACCATGATTAGTTATGATAACTGCTTTTGTCGGATGATATATTATCCCAAATATAATAACCATGTTATGACCGCTGATATAATGATAATACCAATAGCATAGTAAGGCAAGTTCACCCTTTAAAAGAGCATTGCATTTTTTATTATAATGCAATTTGAAGACAAATTGTATTGAGTTGCATTATGGGAAATGTAGGATCTCGTTTTTTGGGAGCTAAATCCACTCGAGGAATGAAATGATGGATGGATGATTGAATCATTCTTTAAGATATTATTCTAATCAACACACAGATGACAAACAAACACCTTCTTGGTAGAAGTATTTATTTTGTAGGCCTTTGAAGCAGCGCTGCTCCACATCAATGACCTGAATCTTGTTGAACACAAGAAGCTAAAAAAGGTCTTGCATGTCAGAGGTGACTTCATGTCCAGACTGCAAACACAAACATGTGTATTTGATAACGTGTTGAAGCCACTTCCCTTCAGATTACCATCTCTTCCCCGGCCCTCTTCTCCGTCTCTGATCGTCCCCGCCGTCGTATATAAACAATTCGACGTAACGGAGAGGTCGCTTGGCTCGCTCTCAAGGAGCAACCCGGGTCACATTTCCACGGTCGCAAGACGCCATTTGTCGCTCTCTATTGTTGTTGCAGTGTGCGAGGAGCTTTGTGTGTGTGTGTGTGTGTGTGTGTGTGTGTGTGTGTGTGTGTGTGTGTGTGTGTGTGTGTGTGTGTGTG